AGACTTGTCGAAAGAATTCATGACCATTTTAAAATATTCCCCATCTTTTGATGACATTGTTCAAAGTTTTTTGGAATTGAACAATGTTAAAACTAATACCAACTTCGAACAATGAATGATAAGTGTCAAGTGATTTTTGCAAAAAAGGAAGCCAAGAATTTGCCAATTCTTCAATTGTAGGCACGAGCAAAGCAGGCCTTTTGTTACGACCAGTTAATATCAGATAGACCTCAGTATTGGTGTTGGGACTTGCGATGGGTTTAACAAACTTATAAGTTTCGTATTCTTCAATCAAAGATCGCAGTGTTAGCGTTTTTCTATCTACTAAATCATACAGCTTAATCAAAGCACCTTTGGAACCTATTTTTTGTGAAATTTTTAATATTTTTACTAAACCTCCGAATGTTTTTAACTGATATTCTGATTTTTCCCAATCACCAGAACCAATGTCACTAAGAAACCATTCACATTGATAACTGGGACTTTGCGCAATGTGTTTATGGTATTCGATGTCTGTTACGTCTCCAGAGCAATTCTTGTCCCACATGCCAAATTTGGCCAAATTAAAGGCGTTGTGTTTGTCTGCCAAAAATTCAGTATTTTTCTTGGTACTAGTGTTTAATGGAGCACTTGCATAAAGGTTTTTAAACCCTAAAATGTACAGCGACAAAATCCAATAACCTGGTAATTCGCCAACTAAAACAAACTGGTCTGATCGTAGTGATTGTAACACATCTAACATTTCAATCAGCTTGATTCCGCCATTTTCTATTGCAACTTTAAAACTGGTGTTAAATTTTTCATTAAACTTTGGAACTTCAACGTTGCAATAATCATAGAAAACCTTATTAAAATAAGCTCTAATATTTTTTTTATAGTTCGTTTTTAGTAATCCGAAATATTGTGTTTGGGTTATTGACTCCTTGAAATCGTTTAGTTCAGAATATTTTGCAGAATTAAACATTTTTTATTTTGAAGTTATTATAATAACCTTTTTTAAAATTTAAAAACAGAAAAAATGGCGACCTCATCAGTTCAAGAAAACGTGTATTTTGTCCCAAAGAGCGAAAACAACCAAAATAACTTGCCTTTGGACAATGCTCACAACGACTATGTTCTTTACGAAGAATCTTCATTTCAGAACTCAGACTTGGCGTATCTCAAGATATACAATGTTGGAGGCATTTATGCTCCTTTGTTGACTGGACAAGCTCTGATTTATGAAAGCGTGTACAACATCAGAAAGTACATGGTAAGTCTCTTCTGTGGCAATTCTGCCAACCTAGAAGGTGGTCAAACTTTTGACCCAATCACCGCAGACAACGTAAGACAGTATATCAAAACTACGTTGAATGAAGGCATAAGAATTGCCGACAGAGAATGTAAACTTAAGTACGGTAAAAACACTGGATTTAAAGCTGTATATAACCCGGGTGTAATGTTTAATGATGTGTTTACTTTGTTGTTTGGTGTTAAAAAGTTTAATGTAGCTACTGTAGTTTTTGCGCAAAGTTTCATGGAAATCGGATGGCATTCTGAAAGTGCTAGGTTTATCGAGATCACCACTCCCGCAGACAAGAAGAAAGAAGTTGTAATTTCACCAGAAGTTACTATGGCAGTCTTGGGTTGCAATTTTGACAGTTTGGTTTCATACTGTGGGTACGACGAAACGTACGCTTACAGTTTCAACAGAAGCCTTTACGAGATAAATAGCATCCTAAGAACGTCACAGTTGACTTGGACCCCTGAAAACAACACCTTCTTAAATTGTAAAATCGACAAAGATTCCTATTTTACACACTCCACAAACATTGCTGGAACAACTT